CACCTTTTTTACAGATAACAGGGTCCGGAAAATTTCCCAGTGGTTTCGTTGCTTGTTAGAATGCAACGAATGTTAGCAGTTGTCCAGATCAGTATAATCCAATTCAGACAAGAAAAAAAATGTCTATTCAACCTCATTTTCGAACATTTATGGTCCCATGATCATAGTTTTCCGCCGGACTATAAACGGCACCAATCATTCTAAAGTTAAAAATGGACAGGGTTACCAACAATAATTCTCAGGGCTTTACTTGCGCTGGGTCTATTCTTTACATTGGTGAATTATCCCAGCAGCTCAAAATTGTCCACCAATTTGCGGTCCGGTCTTCTCCAATTATCACAAAATCCTATTTTTCATACTCGCAATATTCTACAGAAAAAAATTACTCATAAGGTTTTAGGTGGGGTCCTCAAAGATGAGAAATCGATATTTTAACGTTTTATTGGTCTTATCTCAAGTTTACCCGATTCCTGTCACTAAAATCATATAAATTCAGTATACACCCCTTATTATGTAGAACTGTCGGTCTCGTCCGCATTGTTTTCTTAAAAAATTTAAAGTTATGCCAAATATGTCAAAAAATAATTTCGAAGAAAAAAGATCCGGTTTTCTAAATTTGTGAACCACTCGGACATAATAGATATAGGGTTTTAGTGAGAATAAACAGGTAAAATTGAGATAAGACCAATATCGATTAAAATATCGATATTTCGTCTTTAAGGACCCCACCTAAAATATTATGAGCAAACTTTTTGTAAAATATTGCGAGAGTGAAAACCGTATCTTGTGATAATTGAAGTCCGGCTCAATAAATTAGGAGGAAAAGGACAAACAAGGAATCGAGTTTGAAGAACGAAATGTTCTACTAAAAAAATCCTCATTCGATTTTACTGAAGAAATTGCAAAAAATACGTACAATAGCTACAAATAAAGAGATGAAGCTATATCTTCAAGTATAAAAGGTCGCCAGCAGAAAAAATGATTACGCCATATATTCGAACTTTGACATATGGCGAATTTTCCCTTCTACGGTTTTCATATACTCACCAATAGGAATTTTCCACTCCCTAGATTATGACTTCAATTTTGTCGCACAGTGTATTTCACGTTTAAAAAATTAATTAATTTATTTTTTCAATGATTATTTATTAAATTTCAATATTATTTTAAATATTAAAAAAAGTACATTGAATTTTAACGGATCAGCCTCCCATCATAACATTTCTCACAATGTGGCCATCGATATGGTACCGCATCAAATTCATCATCATGAACATTAGGGCTACAACAACAACAATCATAAAAATGACGATGATGATTGACTGTTACTGAGCTTAATGTTGCTACCTGCGTTTTTTGTTGCTATTGCTGTTGCTGCTAATGAAATCGTCAATGTCAACAACTAAATGCTGAGTTGAGTTGAGTCGGTAAACAATTTTTGTATCTTTTTTTCTACTTTGGTAAATTTTCTTTGTTATAGCTGTTGTCGATGTTGTTGTTGTCGTTGTTGTTTTTGTTTACTTTTACTCCACCATACCGATAAATGTTTTCGTCTGTTTTTTTGTGTTTTTATTTTAAATTTTGCTGACTTAAGTAGATTAAATATATTTTTAACAGCTTCAACAAAAACAATGTTGTTGTTATTTTGTTTGGTATTGTTTTTTGTTGTTGTTGTTTAAGCTAGAAATGAGACGAGCTTCAACATTGACCGTACTACAGTGTCGAAAACAAGGTTCAATTTTTTTGTTATTGGTTTTTGGCTAAACAGAAACACATACACACAAGTTGTTTAATGTCTGTTTTGGGAAAATATAAGGGTAGAATGTTGAAAGAGATCGCATTGTTCTGAAACTGATAAATGTGCTTCTTTTGACAATTTTTTTTTAATTGAAACAATTTTTTTTAAATGAATACATACGAGTATATAGTGAATCATTTCTCAATACATATGTATTTTTTTTAATAAGGTTAAATTGATTAAAATTAAACTGAATTTTTACAAAATGTAAATATATCTAAAAATCTTAAATAATATAAATTATATTTTTTTATTTTTTTGAAAAACTATATAAATAACTTTTTAATGAAAATCTTTGTTGGAGTTTAAAATTTTTTTTTTTTTGAATTACCACAGTATTAATCACAATTTAAAAAAAAGTTCATTCTACCCTAGTATACAAAACATTATCATTACAAAAGCTTAAGAATGGAAATATTTTTTTATTTCATTTTGACTCTTCAAAAGACTTCTTCTGTGTTGTTGGGTATTTTTTATCTACTTCAACAAAAGAAGAACCTTAACAATAAAAAGATTGGACGATGATGGAAAGGTTAAAAATCAATGACCACCTCTAAACAAAATATAAAACCGAGGCAGCATGTGTGATTTAGATGCCAATGTAAGCTGAAGAGTACGCCTTCAGCAAAGCGAATACGAACGAGACTCAAATCGCACTTGACTTAAATGTGAGTCATGAAGAGGAAGTTAATAAAATGTATACACATTTTCGGCAAAAAAATAAATAAATAAAAATAGTGGAGTTCTTTAGATAATCAATTAAAAAGAAAAACAATAAAAACTAAACGAACAATAATAAAAAGTGACAAATTGTTGATTTTTTGAACTGTGATAAGATTTAGCATACACAAATTTTATTTGTAATAAAATGTTGCTACCTGATCTGCTAACAATAAAAAATATTTTCGAAAAAATAGTTTTTGAAATAACTTTATTTGTACGCAATACAACTTTGATGTGTAAAGTTTTAAAATAAATAAAGCAAGATTTACTTGAGAATACTATATCAAAATTAAAGAAGTAATAAAGAAGCCGATAATGTAACCTAAAATGAAAATATAAAAAAAAACATTATTAAAATATTTTATAGTTATTGCATTTTTGAGACCGAGGACTTGCTGATCATAGATCCGAGATTTTTAGAGGTCAATATAACTTAAAATTTCTGGATTTTTGCATAAAATGCCATCGGATTTTAAATATTTAAAAGGAATGTGGCATAGAAGAAACCACAAATCATCGACGTATGCAGAAATGAATTATGAATCTGTGATGTAAAGATAATGTGTCAGAATCTTTTGTAGATGTCGACGCGTTTGTAGTGGTAGTAAATTGTATCTTGACCAAAAAATGTAATCTAAAATGATAATATAAAAATAAATAAGTATTCCAATATTTCCACTTAATCGCATTTTTGAGACTGAGCGCTTGCCCCGAGGTCAATATATTTCAAAAATTTTGTTTTGAAGTGGTTTCTGATTTTAAATATTTTGAAAGGAATTTGGGATAGAAGAAAACATAAATCATTGACGTATTCCCAAATGATTTATGAATCTGAGATGTTGGGATAATGTGTCAGATTCGTCCGTAGATGTCGATGTGCTTGTAGCGCAGTAAATAAAAAAAAACTATTTACAATAATAGGATATCAACAATGTATGATTGGTCCATCGATAATGAAAATTATATCACCTGACCCGAACAGTTTTTGAAATTTTCAGGGCAGAAAACTTATGTGAAATAAAATCAAAATAAAGAATCGATTTTTGAAATTATCAACATCACTAAATATGGAACCATACACGCACCAACAACACTATGAATTTATTAAGATTCAATATATTCAATGTTGAACATCGTAGTCGTAGTTAGTATGCAAATCTGTGGCTATCATCAAAAATATTCTCTAAAAATGTTATGCCTGCTGATATAGGGGAACCTCAAAAAATATTCTTTAAAAAAATTAACGCCTGCTGGTCTCAGTGATCCTCAAGAAATATTCCTTAAAAAATCCATGCCTGATGGCCTTGGGGAGCCTCACAAAATATTCTTTAAAAAATTTGCATCAGGTGATTTGGGGAGTCTTAAAAAATATTCTTTAAAAAAAACAGCCTGGGAGCCTCAAAAATATTCTTTAAAAAACTGTATCAGATGGTTTGGGGAGTCTCAAAAAATATTCTTTAAAAAATCCCGCGGAAGCCTCACAAAGAATTATTTAAAAAATCCGCATCAGATGGTTTGGGTGTCTCAAAAAATATTCTTTAAAAAATCCACGCCTGATGGACTGGAGGAGCCTCACAAAATATTCTATAAAAAATCGACGACTGATGGCCTGGGGAGCCTAAAAAATATTATTTAAAGAAACCACGCTCTATAGGCTGGAGAACCATCGTGATGGCTTGGTTATACAGTGTTTCATTTGGCGGATATCAAAAAATAGGTTTATTTATTTCTGATATGATTATTAGGTTATATACGTTTTATATGGATCGCACTGAAAGCGGTTTTGACATTCTCCTCTTTAAATTTCAGTTTTTCCTCCAATATATTGTTATTACTTTTTTAAATCTTTTATATTTCTTTTAATCGCTACAATACCTTATGAATTCGCAATTTATAAAAATAAATTATATGAATATTTATTTTAAACATTACACGATATAAATTTAAAAAATATGATAGAGGTACAAAGAACATAATGTTGATATGGTTCATTGTACCCAAAATAATACAAAAAAATAAAAAGATTAAAATCACTAAGAATACCGTTCACTTTTGTGGGGAAATACAAAAAAATCCCAACTATATTAACAGAATTTTAAGAAGCTTTCAAAAAACAATCTTTGCTGTGGACGTTGGCGCCCTAGAATATGTAATCAGTTGTGGTTTGGCAATGTAAAACAAAAAGCAAAAAAAGTGATTTGTCATTTGTATGAAATTAACCAAAATTGTTATTGTTTTTCTTCTTTTCTTTTTAGCTAAAAAAATGATTTCTGGGTGGCTCTGTGGCAAATAAACAAACATTTATATCTCCAAAAATAATAATTAAATATTGAAGTGGATTTTTTTGCAAATAGAAATTTATATTTTGTTTTTTTTTTCTTAACTTTTATTTTAGGAAATTGTTTTAGGGATTTTTTTGTTTTCAGTTAAATTTTTTTATGTTACCATTATTGCACAACGAAAAAATACAGTAACAGCCATCAATATCGTCGCCATCGAAATTAAAGGGGAAACAGACAACGACAAGTCAACGACTTAGAAAATCAAATTTTTGAAAAAACACACACACACAAAATTTTCACATCATGCTAATAACAACGTAAGTAAAATAATAATTATTTTTTTTATAAAAAAATATATATTTTTTAAATTTAATATTTATTAATTTCACTGTATTTGTTTATAAACAAATAAATATACAAACAACAATTTCCATCATACATATCGGGAGATGTACCGTCATAAAGATAACAATAAATATTTATTATTACATTTTGCTGCTCCACGTGAACAACACAAATAATATTTATTATTATTAGCCAAATATGAAATTTGTCGATTAAGTTTTTCCCCTTGAATGCAGCCATTAATTACATATATGTAATGGCAATTAATAGAGGATTGAAAAAAATGGTTAAAATTAAAAAAAAATAAATAATTTTAAAATTGTTGTTGGAAATCAAAGTCCATTGAAACCCAATAATAATGAGATTAAAGGAAGACCAAATATTTTAATCACGTCATGATTTTCTTGGCCACATTTGACTTTAGTTTGCAACACTTCAAGAATATACATGCTTAAAACAGATGAACATTTACCAAACATCGAACAAAAAAATCCTACGAACTGATTCCATGTATGAATGGACCAAATTTCAAATTTAAACATACCACAAAAAATATTTTTAAAAATTTTCATAGTTTAAAAAACCTTAAAATATATTTTCTATAAAAAATAAAGCTTAATCGAACCCCAAAAATTTTTTTTTCAACAACTTAAAGTTTAAGGGAGGCAGACTCAAGTTGTTTTCTCTTCAACAAATCCAAGCCTAAGGGAAAAATGTTCTGTTCCAGCTTATCGGAGTCCCAAAAATGTTTTTCCCAAATTTAATCCTAAAACACCCTTAAATCAACACCTGATGGCATGGGGAGCCTTAACTAATATACTTTAAAAATTAACCTCTTATGGTCTGGGGAGCTTCAAAAATTTTCTTTAAGAAATTACTCCTACTGGTCTAGTTCAGACTGAAAAATATTCTTTACAAAATACACGCCTGCAGGTTGTCTAGGTGATCCTCAAAAATATTCTCTAAAGTCTAAGGGAGGCAGGCTCAAAGAAGCCAAAAAGTAGTGTTCTCTTCAAAAACTCCAAGCCTAAGGCAGCCTCAAAAATGTTCTGTTCCAGCTTATCGGAGTCCCAAAAATGTTTTTCCCAAATTTCAGCCTCGAAGTCCCTTAAATCCACCCCTAATGACCTGGAGGAGCCTTAAAAAAACATACTTTAAACCAGTAAGGTCGGACTGGGCCGACTATATGATACCCTTACCACTTTGGGTATATTTTACATATGTATCCTAACAGACGACGCGTTATGTTATAAATCTATATCTGAACCAATTTCAGGGAAACTTGGATCTATGGATCTTTTCACGAAGCTTAGCAACATCATTCTAGACTTAAGGGAACCCCACCCATTCCCGATTTTAATTTTTCAAGATTTTCAATGGACTGGTAAATCAATACCAATGCTTGTTAAGGTTTGTAACTTTGCACATATATAATTGAAGATTTAAAAGAGAAGAAAAATAATTTACAAACAATTTTTGTTATTGCTTTGTTGTTGTTTTTTGTAATTAAAGAAAAGTCCTTATTTTTGATGGCGATGTTCACAGGAACATCGGAATCCGAAAATTCCAACGGTGTTAGAAAGAGTACATGTCTGGCTCTCAAAATGGCGGACCTTTGAAAAAATATTTTTAGAAAATCGCCGATTTTTGACCAAAAACCAAGTTAAGAAATAAGGAAGATCTTCACCGATTGGCTTTATCCTAGTTCATACGATAGCTATACACTCACTGAGAAACGAGTAAAAATTTGAAATCGATGGGGTTATTAGTTTTTGAGTTATCGTGCCCGCCATTCGCAAAAGAGAAAAACGCGTTTAAAGTTGGAGAAGCCCTTCAGCCGTCACTTGATGCTGACACAATAAATCGGCTATATCTTCAATAGTTCTTGAGATTTTCACTTGAAATTTTGTAGAGACATTTTTGAATTAGTGTAGAATCGAATTAAAAAAAATTGACCCCGAGAATGGGGGTCCCCTTAATTCAGTATCCTATACCAAAATTCGTACAAATCGAAGGATATATAGGGTCTTTGGTGCACTAATTACCTTAAATCGGGTGAAAATACATATGGGAGCTATATCTCAATCTGAACCTATTTTCACGAAACTTGGCAGACATCATTCTGGATCTTATTCATAACTCAGTGCCAAATTTCGTTTGGTACACAATTAACCTTAAATCGGACGAAGATATATGGGAGCTATTTCTAAATCTGAACCGATTTTCGCGAAACTTTGCACACATCATTCGTGACCCTATTCATTACGCTGTGCCAAATTGAAAGTGTGGTGAAGGTTCTAGTTGAGACTAAAAAATATATTTAAAAAAAATCCACGCAGGTCTAGGGGGGCTGCTTGTCTAAGTGATCATTAAGAAATATTGTCTAAAAATATCGCGCCTGCTGGCCTAGGATAGCCTCAAAAATATGCTTTAAAAATCCTACGCCTGAAGTTTTAGAGAAGTCTTAAAAATATTCTTAGAAAACCCCACGCATGCTGGTGTAGGCATCGTGAAAAAATAAAAAACCATCCGCTTTTCCAATTTCAAGATATTGGCTATATTTATTCAGCCCCAGAACCACTTTCGTACGCCTACATTTACCCCTACATCTAGGGCTATATTTGGTCTAAGTCTGGTCTAATGTTTTCTGAAAATTGCACCACAAGAGAGACACCCCCACGCCTTAAAAAACGCCTGCTGGTCTAGGGGTTCCTCAAAAAATATACTTTAAAAAGTAACGGTGGCTCGTCCAGCGAAGCCCCAAAAATGTTATTTTAAAAAATACCACGCCTAAGAGAGTCTCAAAAATATTATTTTAAAAGTACCACACTAAAGGACTCAAAAAATTGTATACAAATCCACGTCTGCTGATCTTTTCCTGGGCCCCTAAATACATTCTTTCAAAAGTACCACGCCTAAATGTGACTCAAAAAAATGTTATGGAAAATCCACATCTTTCTTGGTCTTTCCTAGGTCTCAAAATACATTCTTTAAAAATACCACGCCTAAGAAGTCTCATAAAATATATCTGATGGGACCAACAATATGTGATAGTAACTGTGAATCGATTTAAAATCCTTCAGTCCCTGGAATTTACTATTTTATGGACTTTTCGATAAAGAACCAAATTTAAGATCATTATCCACTTTGCACTTTTTAACCTCGATTTCTTCCAAACTACAATATATTTGTCGAACCCCTTTTTAATTGGACTAGACGTCGTCAAATTAGCTTCATCTTGATAATCTTAAATGCTAATGTCTATAATAAACACTTTTTATTATCATCAATTAAGAATCTTGCACGAATGCAAAAAGTAAAAACTCGGAGAAATGTCACACGAATATCTAATTAATTCAACAATGTTGTTATTTTTAATTGTTGTTAACAATAATAACAAATTTCAAAAATTGAAAAGATTAATTGCCAAAACAAAAAAGTAAAACGTAGAATTTAGTTTAAGTTGCAGTCATGCAAGAATTTAATATTTTGAAATATGATAGCTTCAAATTATTAAATAAACGGGCAAACTTAATACATTTTTAAAAATTTTAAATATATATATATATATATATATATATGTTTTATAGTACTTAAAAGAAATTCTTTAAAAGAAGAATTCTTTAACATCAAACGAAAAACAAAAGACTTAAGACACATACTCAAAACATCAACCATAACAATAATAACAACTTATTTATTGTTTACTACCCCCAACATAAATCAACTATGTATGCATATATGTAGATATTTGCAATCTATTTCACTACAGCTATTGTTGCGGACATTAATAGCTAAGCGAACACTCGGTGAATTTTAAATGAAATTTTCCATTAAATATTTATTTACTACACAGTTCCTGATACTTTTTTCAGTTTATTGCCTATAGAATATTTATGATGATTTGCATAAAATCTTATTTCTGGTAAATTTACCAATAAAATAACAAAACAAACATAAAAGAGATGTTTCAAACTTCTAGAATGAATGGACATGTTTAATATATTAATGGAGTTTCGAAAAATATGTCTATACCATAAAAAACAATTACTACTTAATCTTTTCTGTACTCATTGATTTCCGCAATTTCTACTGGAATTAAAAAAAAACTATGTTGCTTAAGAATTTTCATAAACTCAAAAAAATCTCCCATGATTGTTTGGGGGTTAAAAAATGTTTTCACATCTTCAATCTTCCATACAGGTTTCATAAGTCTGGGTTTATACATGCAACTTTTGTGAGCAACTCTGCTGAGTTCTTGGAAGTGAGAGGTATAAAAAGTGACAAGGGAGAAGAAATTCAAAAGGGAGTCGAAGAGAGCTGCAGCAAAGTTGCTTATAAAAGTTAAATACATAAACCAAGACTAATAGTATGTTAAATAGTACCCGTTAAAAATGTACATTTCCAAAAGGTACTGTCATTATAACCTTTGCAAGTGATTTGCCCCTGTTTATTTGTAAGGTTTCGTATACGGTTTCTATATCGGTTAACCCAATTCTAAGAGTATTTTTTAGTACGAATTTCCACAACCGTTTCATAATTTGAACATTAAAAGTACCAGCTATTCCTATAGAACATTTCAAGATCCTGACTATATTTATTCACTAATAAAAACTGCACTAAATTAATGTACCATCTACAGTTTTCAACGCACTTATGGTACACGATTTTCCATTCCAAATATCAACATTTTAGCACTTTTATTTTACGCAATTCAAAAAATGCTAATTTTAATACCAGTTAATTCTATATATGTTTCGAATTTAAGCCAATTTAGTCGAAAAATTCGAGCACTTGGGACAAGTTTGCGACGCGAAAAATAATATCCGAATTTTGTTTCTTATTATGTAATTCGAATTATAAGTCCGCAAGTGCTGTTAATTTTTGTGAGATTTTAATAATACTTGTTCCTACCAAAACCAGGCATGTACTCTTTCGAACATCCTTGGAATTTTTGGATTCTGACGTTGGA